ATTAAGGAGTATAATGCCACATTGGGTGACTAGTAATAGTAGCACAAATGTAATTAGAAACTGTATATACAATTGTTTTGTAAGGCGTTTATTATGACTAATAAAGTTTCTACGTTGGCAATATAAAAAAAAAAAAAAAAAAAAAATTTATCTTTTAAAGTGAACTGTACATAATTTATAAATTCTTTCTAAATGTTCCATTGTATTAAATATTGGAAATTTTGCCGCTAAATACTGACCTAGTCCTATAAAAAATTTAAAAATTTTAAAAATTAAAAATTAAAATTAAAATAATAACTAATATACCTAATGCTTGGCCATGATGTTCATCAGCTAAAATACACCCAATTCCATTCCATGAATATGATGAAATTGAATTGGGCGCTCACTATCTTGCTCAACACATGTAAAAGTTCTTCAAAGAGTTTTTCATATGTGTTTGCTGATTGAAGAATAGTAAAAGCACGTGCAAATATTAAAGCTTTATAAAAAAAATAATTATTATTTAATATATAAAATATTAAAATAAAATTAAACTTATATCTACTTTTTTGATATTTTTCAACATAAGCACAAACTTCCCATTCATTAATTGGGCCATGTACACCAATATACAATGAATCTGCTAAATATTTCATTTGATTTTTATGACCACATAAAATTAAATATTGGCCATTATCAAAAAAACCTAATAATATTATATTAATATATATATATAATATTTTCAAACAAATTATATAATAATTAAATACTTACGAATAGATCTAATATAAGGATTAGTATCATTTTCTTGATTTTGCTTTAAAAGCATATAAGCAACTCCCATAATATCTTGATCATATGAGTGCTCTTCACAACATTTTGTCATAATCATATGATTAATTTTTGACATATTATTTAATGCTGGATGTAATTCTGGAAGTGAAACTCCCTTAAGAAAATGTTGTATTGAAGAACCTAATAATTAAAATGATTAATAATTAATAAATTTATAAAATAGTGTAAATTAAAATTAAAATTAATATATACGTGCAATTAATCTTCTAGCTGTTAAATCTAAAATATCTTCACTTGCAATTATATCCTTTAAATTATTCTGGATTGCAACTGGTGGAGGTGGTGGTGGATGATTATGTATATATCATGATATAATTATTATATATGGATATTTTTCAAGATCTTCAGGCACATAATGCCAAAATCTTACAGGACATCCAGATTTTTTTTGAATTAACCCTTGAGATACTTGGTTGTCTTCGGAAATATGAATATAAGCTATATATATAATAAACATTAATTAATAGTTTATTCATATAAAATAAATATATAAATAAATATTCTTACGGCATTTTTTTGCATGTGCACTAAATGGATGAACTGTATAACAATTCTGAACTGAAATTGTATTCTAAAATATTAATCAAATATATATATTAATTTATATATAATTATTAATTTAATTAAGTTATTTAAAATCTATATACCTCATTTGCTACTCCATCATTGTAATATGTATATTCTCGAAATAGTCTTTTTAAATATTCAATATTGATTCGTCCTAATAAGCTTAAATATCGATGACCTCGTTCATTTTTTTTAAAGTCTTTGCATCCAATAAAGTAAGTAGGTTCAGATAAATCATCATTTCGCTATAAATTATATAAATATTTAGAAATACTGTAAATTATATAAATAAAATATAATATACAAAATATATATATGCATAATATAAACCTGATAATGCTTTTCGAGTTTTGGCTTTCCGGTACATTGTAGTCCAGTAATAGAATTTATAAATTTACATGAAATTTTGTGCACTGAAGCAAAAATACTAAAATTTTAATTATTAATAATTATATATTATTAGTTGTATTTAAAATAATATATCAATATATAATAAATAATATATTATATATTCAAAGTATTGGTATCTAATGATACATAATTCATTCGAATCAAATACTTTTTTGAATATATTATCATTAAAATCTACTGATGAGTGGGTCATTGATACTAACTCTGGAGCTGCAAATTGACACATTTTAACACTATTGCAGTTTTGTGTCTCTTTATAAACTTTGTTTGTAAAAAAGAACAGTAAATGCCTTCACGGACAGTTCCATCCTTATATGAATATTGGATATTTTTGAGATCAAAAATCTCTTTAGCTTTTTCAATATCCATGCCAGTTATGTTGTAAATACAAGCAACTCCATTTTCTAATATTTCTGGATACTCTTCAAATTCCAATCGATATTTTATATTAGTTATAATTTCGGCATTTGCTTTGCCTAACTTAATTAGCTGCAGCTATAGAAATTAAAATTTAATTCTTATTAAATTAAAAATTAATAAATTATATTTAATTCACAATATTACCGTTTCAATTTCTTGAATTTCATCAGATGATTCTTCATAAATTTGATCATTAAAATCCCACTATATTTAAAAATATTAAACTTCTAAATATTCATTCTCTAGTTTTAAAATAATAAATATAAATTATACCGTGAATGGATTATCAGGATCTTGAGCATCCTCACTTAATGAATCGGAATCCCATTCATTATCAGAATTAATTGTAAATGAACTTGTATTAAACGAGCAACTCATTTTTTTTATTATTGTATGTTCATATGTTTCAAATAATACAAATAAACCAAATATAAAACGAAAAAAAAATTTTGATTAATAATTATATTGATAACGACAATGATCGTTGTAGTCTAATTTGCAAGACAACATTATTACATATATTATTCTATGTATTGTACTTTTCTTTGAACTATGATTATGCTTCGTACAATACAATACTAAATTCGCTAATAATATTTTACTACACTATAAGAAATGTACTGTATTCTCATTTTTTTATAATACTTGATATAGTACAGTACGGTACTATGTACTGTATTATTATTTATTAAAATTTCGTACAGTACAGTACTAAATATTCTTCAGTACAGTACTTAATATATATATATTCTTGAGGAATCTTCACTAAATGTTTTAGAAAATATTCAAATATCTTAGAAAAAACCAAAAAATTGGGGTAAATTATTTTTTTTTTAACTTTAAACACCAATTTCTCAACAACCATTAATTCAAATCTGATAATTTTTTTTTTATTTTAATTCAGTAGGCTTGTAGAATTAAAATAGGTTGTTGTTGAGAAAGTTTACAAAGTTTTTTTAAAAAACATTAGCCACAGCATCTTTTTTATAAGTATCTAAACTTTGAACAAAGACTATTTGGCACTTACCTGCTAAAATTCAACCAATTTTTTTATTTTAATTTTATAAGTTTATAGAATTAAAATAAAAAAATTTGGTCTAATTTGATCAGTTAAATGCTGAGTAATCTTTGACTTTTTTACAATGAACTGATGATTTAATAAAAAAAAAGTTTGTTGTTAATAAAAATTTACTATGCTTTCGTAATAAAATAACAACAATTTTGAAAATTTTAAGAATCAGAATATCCAGAGGTCATCATTAAGAAGCTCGTCAAAAGAGGGTCAGCTGTATTTTATATTTTATTATCAAATCAATGCTGTCAAAAAGTTTCATTAATCGTCAGCAGTTACGAGCAGTTTCATCGATCGTCAAAGCTTCGTCAAACGAAACCATTGATGAAACCATTTCCTTACCGCAAAAATAGTTTCTTTAGTTTGTATCACTTGCAGAAATAAGTAGTTACAGCACTTCACCACATCAAATTTTCTTAAAATGAAATCGTTAACTAACAAATGTTTTTTTTAAAATGTTTAATAAGCTCGATTATAGAAGCTTATTTTCATGCCTTCTTGTAAACCGTCAATAGTGTAGAATTACTATACCAAAATTACGGAGTAAGCCTACTTTTACTTTTAGAGTTGTTATAAATGTTCATCTTTTTAAATTAAATGCTAAAGAACAAGTACCATTAATTCCTATCAAAATTTATTATTTGAATATACAAGAATATTGGCTTAAATGTAAAAGACATGAAGCTCATGAATCTCAGTTGGAGGTTATAGTTTGTTCTTTGATTGCAATGTTTATGCTAACAAGTAAAAACTTTATAAATTATCTCATTATTTGGATTATAAAGCATTAGAATTTTAGAAGAGGCCCTTTGTATAAATACCACTATAGATTTTTTAGAACTTTCTTATTATTGATTCCAGAGGATGGAATGTGTTAGTAGAGGCTCTTTGCAATTTCACTACTTTAACTTCTTCAAATCATATAGACAATATGCTTTATTCTTAAGGAGGAAATGCTTTATTGAAATTTCTTTGTGCGAATAATGTTCTGACATCTTTTAATATTTCTAAAAGATTTTATTTTAATTTTAGAGGAGCGAAATCATTATCAGATGCATTTGACATAAACAATACTTTGACTGACTTTTTAGATTTTTTTGATAATCAAATTGGTCCCAAAGAAGAAAAAGTATTAGCATAGGCGCTTTGCAAAAATATTAATTTCTTTGAATCTTAAAAACAATAAACTTGGTTTTGAGGAAAGAAGTCGTTAGCAAAAGCTCTTTATATAAACACAACTCATCTTTAAATATTTCTAATAATCAACTTCAAGGGTCGTAAAGCATTAGCAGAAGTCTTTGCAAAACACTAATCTGATTTATTTGAATCTTAGATACAATAATATTGCATTTCAGAAGCTCTTTGCAAGTATAACACTTTGACATCTTTAAATATTTCTTATAATCAACATGGTTTTGCGGGAGGTAAAGCTCTTCACAAAAAACGTTACTCTGACTTCTTTGGATCTTAGTAATAGTAATCTTGATTATGAAGGAGAAAAAGCATCAGATAAGGTTTTATATTTAAATGCTAATCTAACCTTTTTAAATTATTTAAACTACACTGTATTTTTTTGAGATTTATATATGCACCTTTTCTATTCTAAATGGCATCTTTTTCTCATTGTTTATGACATGGAAGGAGGGAGACAATAATCAAACTTTTTGCAAAAATGCTATTTTTAATACTAGAAAAGCATTAGCAGAGGCTCAAACGCTACCCTGATCGATGAATTACTTTTATCCTCTTGATAAAAAATAATTAAAGGCTATAAATTTACTTGAATAATTTTTTTTGAATATTTTAATTGAAACTATATTTTATTATGAAATAAAGTTTTGAGAATATGCGATTTTCTCTTTGATTTTTTCTTTAATTTTTCTTTATTTGGTTTAAATATTACATGTCATAAATTAAGCAGTTAGAACAATTTAGAACGGTTTTTTTTAATCACAAAACGTGAAAGATGGCTTCGTTCAAATATTCAGATGGCATGCTGGTTTTTAGAATTGTTTGTTTATTTTAAAAATTGTGAATTCTGTTTATTTAATTTGTATTCTAATCAATTACATAGGTAGGAATATCATGAATTCACACACTTGGATACTTGCATATATTTTTATAAAGGATGTATTTTGCATAAAAACGGAACTCATTTTTATTATCGATCACTTCTAAAATATTACTTACTATTCTTCAAGAAGTAAGAGGGTCTTTATGTATTTTCCAATCTATTAGATAAACGTCTACTATAATAATTGGAGCAAAATAAAATAAATAAAAATAATTATAAACTAAACAGTATATTAAAAAATACATTGAGTGTGTATTAATTTTATTTTAATTAAATACAATTACATTGTTGGCTACATCCAATAACTATATAGTATTTGCAAAGTTGCTAAAAAGTTGAGTTTGGATATTTTAATTTATAATTTATTGAACTATAACTATTTTAATATTATTGGTTGTATCTTCCTTAACATTCTTATTATCAGTTACTATTTCATTTTGTTGCATTGATTTTTCTTTTCTTTTTCCTAACCACGTTAAGAATAAACCCTTTCTATATTGATATTGATAAGTAGTCCATAAATTTAAAAATTTATAAAATCTTTTACCTAAGGTTACTAATATGATAAATAAATAAATTGGATAAGTTATAAACCATATAAGTATAAATAGCCATGATAATATAATACGAAGTTTATGGAAAGTACACCAATTTTTTAACCATAATTCCGAAGCATCAATATGATTACATGAAATTATTTGATGTTCAGGACCAACAATTTTATCTTGTAAATATGGAAGCACAAGCGGTAAAGTAATGCAAGCTCCCAATCTATGACAAAGAAATAATAATTAGTATTTATAAATATTAAAATTTATAAACTTTATATTAAAAAAACAATAATTGTAATTACATGTTGATTATAAATATATATTTTAAATTATGCCAATTCCATTGTACATATGCAAGGCAGAAAATTCCGTAAAAATAGCAACAATAAATAAAAAAAGTAATTTCACTAACAGATGACAATTTACTATAAAATATTTGATACACTATTTAGTATTGGAACTTAGACAAGAAAATGGGAGAAAAAAATTCATACTAATCATAGCCATATTTTCCATATAGATCGGTATTGTTTTTACGATTGTTTTCTTCGTATAATATTTTATCCGAGTTAAAATCTGCATATATATAGAAATAAAATTAATTTTTAGATTTTTTCTTAAAATGTTCTATTATCGTCATGGATAGAGTTTGAAGTATGCAGTAAGATAAATTAAATTTATTATAATTCAATGAAATAATCATAACAATTTACAAGTAAATTTGCAAACGGTTTAATGGATCATGTAACATACCAAGGGTATTAAAAACCACGAAAATCGCAAATACAAGTATGTAGTTAATAGTTAGAATCCATGGAATAATTTTTACTGGTGCTATTTGAACATATTCATCATAAAAAGATAATTTTCTCGATTGGCGTGGAATCATTTTTAGTATCTTTAACGAAACAGATATTTAATAATTAACTACGCAGTTAGATCCTACTGAAAATGTAATGATATTTATATGTTATTTGTTCATATGATATGATCATGTAAAATTTTTTGTCACGCCATTAATCGTATGATCAATATCTTATATGTAATTCATGTGACCTTGTACTACTGCAGGTTGGTATCTACTATGGATAAAATAATATCTTTTTTAATTCATAGACATTGAACTAGTCCACTGATTATTTCTTGCTCCATTTTGCTTTTCTCACGAATAAGATAAAAGAAAAACTTTTTATTTACATATAATAAATAAAATAACAATTATTTGTTGCCACAATACTATTTGCGTAAATTATTAGAAACTTCCGACAAGTGAATATTCCTTCAGGCAAGGATGATAAATTTTCATGGCAATGTTTTGTTAAGATATTGATTTGCCAGGATTTTTAAGTTTTCATGATAATGATACAAGATTGAACTAGAGATTTTACTCGTGCAAAATAATGAAAACTATTCGATACTATATTTCGCGCAAGGTAAATCATTCAACTAAGAGAATTTTGACGAATATATAATCTAAAAATGAATTTTTGTGACTTGCTAGTGAAGCAATAGAATCGTCCCATGATATTACGGTTTTAGCTAACTAAAGCTTATGTCGTAACTAGTTACGCATTTATCAATACCAAATACAATACATTACATTATAATACGTACTGTACGTACAAGTCATACAAAATATTTGAATAAACAATTTCCTTTTTGGATAAAATCGGCAAGATGG